GTATTCAGTTGATATTATAATTAAATATTAATTATACTGATAGTTCAATACTATTTCAAATTTAATAATATCAGTGCAATATTTACTTTATATTTCATTTTTCCCTGACATAATATTCTTATAATATAATTTAGTATTAATCATAGTACAGTGTTAACAGTACACTGCAGTACTATTTCAAATATGTAATCTAATAAATATTATATTTTTCCCAGACATACTGCAAATCAGTTGATTATTTATTATTATAATTCAATTCAATTTAACTTTTATTGTCAAACACAGTGAGAACATGGTTTGAAATTCTTGTTTGTTCACAGTTAAAATGTATTTTTAAAACAAGACACAGAAGATAAAATCACAGAAAAAACAGGAAACAGCAAAAATTTAAAAACAATAAAAGTCTGCTAAAAGATTAAAATGGCTAAAAAGGCTAAAAACATTAAAATGGGGTTAAAATTCGTTAAACATTCTGTAAAAAATCAGTCTTTTTTTAGTACTATATAAGCCTACAATATACAGTATGTAATACTATTTACTTTATGTATACTATTTACTTTTTAAATATAATTTCACTTGTTTATTGCTGGCATATTAAAATCAAAGTTAAAAAAAAAAAAAAAAAAAACATTTTTTTGCAATGTTCCTTTGCCTTCATATTCAAGTACATTATATGCCAAGCCAAAATCTAAACTTATTTTATTAGAAAGCAAGTATATCTGCTACTATTCATTAAACATGTGAAATTGAATCTGATACGGTACAGTATCAATGTATCATACTTTAACATTTACCGCTGGAACTCGCATCTTAATGACTGCCTTTAAAACTCAATTTAATTTTGGGCCCAAGTAAGGTTTTAGTTTTAATAATAAGCTGCAATAATTATAGCCATATCAAATTTGAAATGAACATTTTCAAATATAATTATTCACGACTGAGCACTAACCACCACTGGCATATTAGTTTTAGGATTTTCACATAGTAAGCCAGGTTTTAGCGCAATGCTAGGTGAATTTGAAGTAAAATAATAAACTGCATAGATGCAGAGTGGATTTTTTTGTTGTAATAAAGATAAAATATGATAAGAAATCAACAATATATTTCTAATCATTTGAATTCTGAAATTTACAGAGCTACTGTAAAAGTTTCAGTTACTTTTGAATTATGTGTACAATAGGATTTACTTCAAATAGTAAAATATTTTAAAAGGAATGTAACTTTCTTTTTATACATGTTCTATCATAAAATGAATAATATTTCTTTTATTAAAATTTTCAAATCATATTATAATCTTAAAAATAACTTACAGGCTGTTTAAGGCTGTGTAAAAGAACATTATATATTTTTTAAGAGTTTTATGGTTCAAATTTTAAATATAAGTACATGTTTTTCGATATTTATGATTTTATGGCATTTACATTTTTAACTGTTGCCTGCCACCTAATACTTGTGTAGGCATAACTAACTGAGGGCGTCACACACAACGCAAGCCATCTGTACTTCAATGCTGGTGATCCAGTCAACAAAAAGTGTATACTACCAAGATGCAACAAAAATCTGTACTTAGCCACTGCTAATATGGACACATCATGCCCAAATCAGACATCTGTAGTGTCACATAAAACAGTAAATGTTGAAAGCTTAGAAAAAAGGAAAAGTTGGTAGCAAAAAATGTCACTCAAGGTTCTCTTATTATTGATTGACAAAAGAGAAAATTTTATACCCTGCAACATGTACTTCAAGAAGTTTTAAGTAGGATTTTAAATTAATACAATTTTAAGATTTAGTTTAAGATACAGTAAAGGTAGGCCTACCGTACTACCATATTGCTTGTATTTACATTTTTACTATGGGGCTGGGTGGATGCTCTAAAGGATGCTCTGGTACTCAAGGCAATTATTTACACTGTGACTATGGTTTAGTCCTTATGCGAGAAGACTTGGGTCAAGCAAATGGAGTTCTAACAGTATGTAGAGGGATTCAAACATGTGCCAAATACCGTAAACGTAGGCCTACTGTATACAACGTACACCTACCATATAGACCACTCAAATTACTTAAGCCTACAGCATCGGCGCTCTCAATTCAATCTGCCAACCTGTTATTAACAGGGCTCAATGATGCCTATAAACTTCAATGACCTGACAAGGACTTTCAATATACAGTAGTATGGCATCATTACGTATTACAACGTGCAGGTATAAATAATATAATCAAGTTTTTTTTTTTTCTTTTATAAATACTGTATGAATGTATTGAATTATGCATTCAGACTTCATTATCAGGCCTGGGAGGGATAGTGTTGTTCATTCATAGTCATGACAAAAAACCATGGCATTTGTAGGATTGAATCCACAGAGGCCCACTTATGTTGGACTTGAGAGGATTGTGACCAAGTCACAATTAATAATTACTGATATTCTAGTGTTTTCATTCATAAAGGTCTGTTCACACATACAACCATAATATCAGTATATCACACAGTATTTCACCAAATATGGCCGTCACAGTTATTTGTCGCATATAATTTTATAGTGTGAACAAACCCTTACTGTAGGATTCATCAGAATTTTACTAGTGTCTGTAGTAAAGATTTGACTTTATTTACAAGCTATCAACAATCACCTCTTTGTAATAACATAACAAAATAGGATATGGGTAGACAATCAGCCACACCTGGAGTGTTTTTAGTGTTTTGTGTTCATTCATCTACATCTGCAATTTCTGTACAGTACAGTATTATAAAGTGAAATAAAATTATTGATCCCTATCTAAATAAAACAATTAATGTTCACAAAAAGCTTGCTGTCTAATGCATTCTGCTACACTTTGTTACATTGTTACAGAAGGTCAGTGTAAAATGGTTAGATCTACCTCTATGGTTAGATTAACAGCCAATCAGACTATTGCTCCACCAGTAAGTTGAATAGTGGACTGTTTTATAAAATTGATTACGGAATTTATCCTCTTCTCTATCTATTGTCCCATAAAATTGCCCAGAATTTTACTCTGGTCCACTCCAAATTAATTAAACACTCAGTCACTGGATATACTGTAATATTATAAATGACTGTGCTATAACAGATGCAGTTGCATAACTGTACAGTACTTGAGACCACAAACATAAACAATTATCTACCAATTGAACCTTTTACCTTCTTTATGTAAATTTGTTACACAGTAGCACTACTATACAGTATTTGAGACCACAAACATAAACAATACCTACCAATTGGACCATTACCTTCTTTATGTACATTTGTTACATTTTTCCGTTAATAAGATACAGTAGGCCTATATTTAACATCAAAAATGGTTTCAATGTGGGATCTAAAAATTGTCATTCATACTTTCAGAGCTGGTTTATGTTTTAATAACACAATCAAAGGCACCTACCCAGCAGTTAGAGTAAATTTACATTTCTACAAAAAAAAAACAAAAAAAAAAATTATTTTAATATCATGTAATATTTATACTCAAATTTGAGCAGTAGGATAACATTATCATAATCATTGTGGTCATACCTTATTTATTGCATTTTTTTTAAAGGTCAAATAGTGAGTGGAAGTTATTCACTAGGCCTAGATTAGTGGTGCAGGAAACATGGCATGTAAATGTCTACTGTTACATGAACAATATAAAAGCTTTTGGAAAGTTCATCCTGCAGAGGGTCACAACACAACATTAATACAGTGGTTCTCAAACCTTTTGGCCGACAACCACCCAAAAAAAATGTCCAGGCAATTTGCCACGACCCACTCCCTAAGACGTTCAAAAACAGATACTCAAAATAGGTCAATAACTTGTATTGTAAAGAAAATTGAAGTAAACTAAACAATACTTATATTATATTGATGTGGTCCTTTTAATACAGCAAAATTTAGAATTCATTAATATTAAAAGAACCCAAGTCTTGCGACCCTCAAATTTGGTAACCCAATTTTGAGTCTCGACCCATAATTAGAGAACTGATGTATCGAACCTACAGTACTGTAGTTGCAAGCCTACAAATTTGTTGGTGCTTCTGATTATACCACCGTGCTTTGATGTTATCTGTACACTCTGTAGCCCAACAGTTATGTTTTTTCGAAACAAAATACCAGATATTTGGGGATGCCTCCAACCGCTGGTCACACATTTTTCCAACTTTGCCTACAGTACTTCTTTCTGTCAACATTTACAGTATTTAGTGCAACAAATTAGCCATAAAGTAAAGGTGCTAAAATTTTTCAAAGCAAGAGAAACTGTCTGTATCATGGACAAATGTTCCTATAGGAATAATAGCATATCAAATGCATTGTGCAGTCACAACACAGGCTAAGAGATGAGACAGATTGTTCTCTCTAACAAAATGCATTTCTTCCTTTTCCTTTTTTAAAACATTTTTAGGAGTACAGTAAGTTGTTGCAGACCAATTTTCAAGATCCTCATTTTGAGCTGACCCAAGACCATGACACAGACTTGCTAAATGAGAGCCAAAACCCAAATCAGTTCCTGAATTAATGTGGGTTTATTCAACTTTGTAGCATTAAAATGGTATGAATTTAGAGTAAAAATGTAGGGCCAATACACATTTTTGTTGACATACTAATAAAGGTAAAAGTTATTCATTGTGCAAAAACAAGTAAACAGATGTAATTGGAAAAGCAAGCCACCACCCAAACCACAGTTATTTATTAAAGACAATTAGTATGGTACCCCAGCTCATTTCTCTACAACAATACAATTGTCAAACCAAATGTAAAGTGTGGCAGACATTTCATAACCCAGACTATTGCGGTTATTTTCACAACTGAGTTTGATAAGTCTGAGTTATGAAATCTGGGTTACAAAATGTAGATACTCCAACTGCAGTGTAAACTTCACAAACTCTAACATTATTTTTGTATTTCTAGGCTATATCATCTTTGTATCTATAGGCCTACTGTACCTCAGTTGACTACAAATGAGTCAAGGCTTGGGCATCTGGAGAAAAAGATGATTATTTATAAAATTACCTTTAATAAAACTTGTATGGGAGAATGAACTCGAAAGCAGATATCTCGCAGGATCCTTCTTCCAGCCATAATAATAAAGACTTCCTTTATCTGGAAAATAAATTTTAAATAACAGTTAAGTTCAAATACAAACAAAATAATCGCTATGTGTAGCAATGCATCATTACACAACTCATGATGGATTTCTTGGCCTATCCATCTTGCACAAAAAAAAGAATTAAAAAAAGTGTCACATGCTAGATGTTCTGATGTTGAACAAATTACATTGTTTTACTGATAATTTTTGCATAATAAAATATTTGGAGGGAATTTCTAGCTAAGGCCTAGGTACTGTAGGAGACACAGCTAAAAAAGGAAACTATAATGTAAGGTCTACAATTACTAGGGCCTAGGCCTATGCATACGCCTTCTCAATACTTCACTTTATTTAGTGGGTCTTCACTTTGATTCCTTAGGCCTACCTAGTCTAATTCGTCTAGCCAGGGCCTAGGCTAGCCTACTACTAGAATTCTGCTGGGCCAAGGGATATCTGTATCCAGTCACTGGCCTAGGCCTAAACTAGTTTTTCTACCTCAACAAGTCAAACCCATCTAGGCCTATCTATACTTCATTATTAAACATTCATGTTACGACTTCGCATATTTCCGTAAATATCATAAATACAAAAGAACAATTTCCTTAAAAAACATCACACACCTTCCTTCCAAAACAACCGCAAAAAATTATGGAGGGCGTACACAATCACCATTCACCGGTAGCTAGTAGTACGTGTTTTGTTGATGCGTGGGATGGTTCCTTGACGAAGGTGGACCGACTGGGACACGCGCGGATGGTTGGCCTGGATTTTCTGAGGAATATATTTCTTGGAGGCGCTGCCACTGTAAATCTTGCTGTAAATAAAAAGAGCTGAAAGGAAACCGACCATCAATCTGATTAAAAGAGAAAGGTGTATTTTGGGGGTTATTTCAACTATTTTCTTCATTTTATACTTAATTTGACATCTATTAAGTATTATGGAAGTTGTTTTAGAATCCTACAATTAGAATTAGAATTCTAGGCCCCTACTTCTAGGGGCCTAGGCCTAGCCCATTTTTAGTGTAGCCTAGGCTAGGCCTAGCATACGCCTTCTGGATTTGACTAAGTAAGGCTTGTCTTAGCCTAGGCTAGGCCTAGCCGTAAGCTAGTTTGTTAGAGGCATAGGCTATGCTAAATTTGTCGTCTGTAGGAGGCTAAGTTAGCATATAGGGGGCCTAGTACTGTATAGGATACAGTATATTAATATTAAATATGTTAGCTTAGAAGTAAGGGGCGGGGCTTAATAGTAGGCCTAGTAAATAGTAATACCGATGGAAACGTCCACACTCACTGTAATTTGGTGCGGATGGGTGATGATGCTGATTCGCACTAAGCTATTGTTATTGGTAATAAAGTTGTAAAATCATCAAATATCTTAAATTTGTGCAGTGGTGGTGTCAGTGGGGCCCCAGTTGCATAGGCCTGGACCCCCTATCATCCAACGCATGACTAGGTCTTCGGATCAAAAATTTAACAAACAATAATTTGCCTATCCAAAACGTTATTTTGACTATCAATCCCTAATATTGTGGTTTAAAATGAAAATGTTGAACCATACTAAGCCATGAATTCTTTACAATTTCTTTTGCCAGAGTCAATGTTACTAAAAATGGTTTAATTAAAAGATTAAGATTATATAACAATCTTAGCAAAGAAGATAATTCCATAGTGATATTTTATAATAGTGTAGGAGTATATAAAAAGAAGATTAAATCTATTTTACATACTAGAGTAAGTTTTGTAATTTTTATTGTGACTTTGTTAATATTTTAATCTTTTTTTTTGTATCAGTTTTTTGTGTCCATTCTGTAAGTGGCCATACACCCGCTGTTGAATGCGAATTGAAATAAAATAAAAACAACTGAACCATACCTACCAAGTCTCCCGCATTTGGCGGGAGACTCCCGCTTTTCGCCCTAACCTCCAGCTCTCCCGCCACTAGCCTAAAATCTCCAGCTTTTCTAATAATCTCAAGATTATTTATTAAAACCCACAATTTAATAAAAATATCCAAAACGTGACAATTCTGTAGTTTTATAAGGCATATAAAATCTACGAAAGTTCTATCGCTTCGCAAAAATACATGCCGTTCCGATAGTAAACAATGTATTCGTGTAAAATTAACACTGGTGGCGCTGTACACATTACGTCATTTCTATTTTAACTTTACGACCGCGATCATGCATATCAATACTTTCGGCGAACCAGAATCCACGATGGTTTTACCGGCGAAAATAGGGTCTTGGCTGCGCTTATCATCATCGATGCATCATTCAAATCCAAAATGTCGGACAGTGATGTTTTAAGCTATAGAATTTTATTTTTCAAAAAATGTTAGTATATATTACCCCATTTTTAAGATTTAATTTGAGCACTAGAGATCTGCTCAGAGTGCACCAGAGAGCATCTAGGCCTAAAAATTAACGGGGCCCTAGGCGGGCCCTCCACCCACGCCTAAATTGTTTCGTTCCTGTGCAAATCTCCATCCACAGCCAAACTCAAACTTGGCATGTATGCTGAACTGAAATGAAGCTACAGTACTAACTGTTAGTATGATCTGAATGAACGCAATTTTAAATTCGAACAGATAAGATTTTGATGAACATTTAAAGACCCATTAAATGCCATTACAATATTTAAAAGATTACATTTGGCTCTGTTTTTAGCCAGCTAGATGCAGTATTATGACCATAAAGAACAGCAAGTTGGAATCCGATTGTGAAACAGGGGGAGGGGTCATCTAATATGCCTGACCTACAAAAATCTTCCAAAAATGTTCTTAAAGTCAGGGGTTGTCTTATACGTGGATCCCCTTTATGCAAGAATATACGGTAATTAAATTGTTTCAGTAATTACATATTTATATCTTTTATTCAATTATTTAGATGTGTAACATTGCTTAAATTGCAAAATGTTTGCAAGAGCAGTTAGACAAGGTATTTGTGTTTTAACTCAAGTTCCAAGATATGGTAGAAGATGCATAACACAATATAACCAAGAATTACCAAATAGAGGACGTTTACTGTATTATTTGATTGGTGGTGGAACAGGGATTGTAACTGGATCAATAGCCATTCGAAGGTAAAAAATCAGGAAATCAATCCCAAAGTCTTTGTTCCCTAGTCCCTATGTTCTTGGGTTCCAAATCAAAATTCTGAGTACAACCTCAAGGTCCTAGGGCAGATTGCTATAAAACAATCTTAACTGGTAGTCTTAACTCCTCGAATAAAGCCAGCTTTTTCACTTCGACGGTTTTACTGAAGTCACTCTGCTAAAGACCATCGCTATAGAAACGGTCTTCACTTAGACTGCTTTGTGTATTGAAATGCAAACAAGCACTTCCTGGTAACATAAAATTTAGGGCGCTGTTATGCTTGCTCAAAACATGCATATTTATCAAAGTGAACGTGAATAAACGTAGAACGGTTTTTGCAGACTTTTGCGGAATATTCGCCATTTCATTGTAGCACCTGTAGCGCCATGATAAAAATGATTTAAGACCACTTAAAGCCTCCTCCGAGTAGGCTTTAAAATTTAAGGTGGCTAACTGGTAAGACTGCGGTTAGCAATGTCTCTATAATCATAGACCAGTAGTGACGTCAGGATTAAAGCCGGCTAAGCGTTGGGACCGTCTAAAGACACCGCTTATAACAATCTGCTCCTAGTTATATAGCTCTGTACAGACTATCAGAAAAAGCTTTGTATGCCCATATATAGTCAGGATGTACCTATGATCATGATGATGACCATAGGTACAGTATGTCATAGACTTGGTTTCACCCTGAAGGTCCTGTTATGAACCTATCCTTACATGGTTCAACCTCAAGGTCCTATGTTTAACCTCAACGTCCTAGGTTCCTCAACATCTTCAGTTTTACCTCAAGTAATAAGTTTAACATAAAGTATTTGTTTAACCAATCTCAAGGATGTGAATTTTACCTTAATGTCTTGGGTTCAAAAAGGTCATTGCGAATAGGTCATAATTTTAAAATTGAAGGTCCTGGGTTCATGCAACCTCAGGATCTTGTGTAAGTCGAATGGCCGAGCGGTTACGGCAGGGGTGCCTGGTTCAAACAGCACACTCGTCTGGTTCTGGTGGTGGAACAAATCTTCTCAGATAAAACCGTGTGCACTTTAAAGATTCCAGTTCCTTCAAGAAGAGTAGGGGTAGATTTCTAAAATTAAAAGTGCATTTTAGTTCTCATTGTGGTTTGCTATAGGTAACTTCCATTACATGATAGAGAAAAAAATGATGAATTTGATTGACAAAATATACTCAACTTGTACCATATTGAAAATCACCAATACAAAACAATAACTTGTTTACTTGTTTAGATCACTCCATGCTTCTGTGGATACAACAGTAAAAACATCTGATGAAGCGAAAACTGATGAAGAGTTGTCAGAAACAGAAGATGAGTCTGAAGAAGGGGAGGTTAAAGAAAAAGGAAAGAAAAGGACAGGATTCCGAGATAGGAAGGTAAGCTACTGTAGGGTAGGACTTTTTATACCCTGTTTAGGTAACCTACCACCTGCCACTGATGATCATTTTGAATAAAAATGAAATTTTATTTTTGGCCATTTATCACACACACTGCTATGAAAAAAAAATGGAAATTTAAAGAAAAAATGTAAAAATTTATTTATTTTTAATACTCCGGTTGCTGCCTAGAAATCTTCAAAAATATGATAAATCTATATTTCTTCCTTAATTACTTTAAATTTAAAGCATAATTCATAATTCAATCCCATTTCTACGTTGATTACATTCACCAATAACATTTTATTTTGATTTTCTCCTTCAAGATCATCTTGCTAAGTAAAAAAACAAAATTGTATTTTTATTTTTTTGTTTACCACCCATGAGCATACCACAAATTACCTACCAGTTAATCTAGTTTGACTATAAGGTTGCTGTGTTGAATACAAGTTTGCCTTTTCCTAATGATGTTTGTACTAAGAGTTTGTTATGTTTGATATGATTTACCTACGAACTTACAACAAACATGTTTTTTAAAGCTTGCTACTACTGTAGCTAGATATGACAATCGCTACACGATATTACCAGCAGCTTTCGGCGATACCAATTGGTCAGTCGAATTGTAGCGAAAGTGTAGCGATTTTAATGAAAATTCAGATAATTCATTACATTCTAATACTCAATGGGCAAAGCTTAGATGTAAAGGCTACACTACATAACCACCAAACTAGATGGAATATAGGGTAGGCTCACTTGAATTATAATTTTATATCATTCATTCATTTCTGGTTTATTCATAAAACATATTGACGTAGCAGTATAATAATGCTGAATTGGCTCACTTGATTTGGAATATTCATTCGTTCACATCTGGTTTATTCATAAAACCTATTGATGTAGCAGTATAAAAATGCTGAATTGTCTCAATTTACAAGGAAACAGTTCAACATAACATACTTATATTGATCTGTCTCTTATACACATTAGATGTGTATAAGAGACAGTCCTTACATGGTGTATATATATATATATATATACAACATTCACACAATAGACAACGCACAAGAAAAAGAGATCCATAGAAACTGCACACAAAATGAATAACATAATTTACATACATTATATTGATGAAATCATTAATACAACATTTTTAAGAATTAATTATGTAAAAAAATAATAGTACGGATGAGACTGCATGCATGGTAAACTATGCTACTGAAGTGTGCTGGGGGTCTCCAGCCCACACCTATCCTCCGACCTGGAAAAGCGTGCAGCACTGTTTACTGGCGTAAACGAGCTAATGTTCCGACTGTTCCATTTTGTTTTCGAGGGGTGTTCTCTTTTGGCAGAGATTAGGAAGTTAGTTGGTTTATCCAGGTAAGTATCCACTCATAGACTACCAACATCACTACTGATTTAGTGTAATTATGCTATTGAAGCATACAGTATGCTGCATTAAACATGTCAAAATTATTTTTACATGGCTAATAATTTTCGCCGTCAGATTGATTCCTGTTTCCTACTTCAATCAAGTGACATCACTGTACAGGGTTTTTGTTATTATTTTTATTACGTTTGAATGAGCTATTGTAAAGCTACAGTGTGCCTTCTTTATACCAAAACTGTTCTCTCTTAGATTATAGAATATGAAAATCGTATTCGTCATTATTCAACCCCTGACAAAATCTTCCGCTACTTTGCTACAATCAAGATGGTAGATGAGCAAGGGGACTCAGAAATCTACATGACCCCAGAAGATTTTATAAGGTCAATTACTCCAGATGAAAAACAACCTGAAGGTGAAGTTGATAATTTTTATATATCTTTTATATATTTTTCTGTGAAATACATTTGTAATGAATTAAATACATTTGTACTGTGTACATTTGTAGAATTTTTTTTATTTAATATTCTTGTTTCAGTACATTTGTCCTGTTTCCTACCAGTATATTAATGTAATTATTTTAGTATTATGGTCTGATATTTTTTTTTTAAATTTAATTATTACTATTACAGTATTTAATTAAATCAAACTGATTATTCTTGTACAGTTTATCTTGTTATTATTATAATTCAATCTAATTATTGAATTGGTACTTGGTATAATTTTTATCATCTTTACTTTTAATTTTGTTTACAAACGGTTTATTCTGCCGACTAAAGCTCAAATTTGTCTATCCTTAAAGTTCTGGTTAAAATGCGCCCTCACTAATCATCAGGGAGATGCTTTGTAAATGAAAAGGCATACTACCGGCTAAATAGATACTGCCTGTTGTTTATTATTTATGATTGTTGCAGCTGCTACCACCATTGCCGTTGCTGACATCAATTTCTAAATTTACTATGTATGCATGTTATAATTCCAATTCCTAAATTGTTTCTACAAATACAGGCCTTGGGCTTGACCAGTTCATCAAAGTTACTCCTAAGGTAATTTAATCTCAGTTTTTCACAGAAAATGTTAATTAACTATCGATATTCTCATACAGAGAATCAAGTGCTTGCATAATGTATATGCCTGGTGTTTATTAAAAGAACCAAGGTTCTATGAAGATGGAAACACTAAACAACATTGAGCAAATGTTTGATCTACAGTATATGAAATTGTTGCCAAGTTTTATTTACATTTAAGCATTTGCATTCCATGCCACGTAATTCATTTTGCCAAATTGTTTTATTTCCATTGAAATATTTTAATGTTTTTGATTAATTTTATTAAAAAATACTGCAGAAATCTGCTGACGTTTGACATGGAATAATGTATAAAATTTAATAGATAATACATTTTTTTGCATTGTTTTTATGTTAATTCATAATTTTAAAATATATCTGCCATTTGTTGCTTTCATTTTCTTTTTGCCTATCTTATAAATGAAATGTTGTTTGCTGTCACCTCCAAAAAACACATCAGTTTATTATTTTCTTGCCATAAGAGCAGTTTCATTTCAATAACTCTTGCTAAATTTTCACCCCAAATATTTCAGCAATTAAGAAATGAAAGGGCGACGTTCCAGCAGGTTTGTGTGTTGGATTGTTGTGTTTATTCAAAGCGACATTTTAGCTTATTTTTAATTTGCTGTTTTTTCAAGGTTGCTATTATTATTAAGCTGACCAATAAACCATTCTTTGTCTTATCTACCATTCTATAGACCATGTACAGTACTGTAACTATATTCTTCACCAGTATCCAAAGTATTGAGTTTGCATTGATACCAAAATCGTTACAGAATACCATTATACTTATTTATATTTCTTATGGGTACTCCTGATGATATATTTGTGATTTTATGATTTACTGTTTGTATTGTGTTTAAATTTACACTTCATTCCAAATATGTGACATGGTCTATTTTCCTTTCCTATACTACTTGATTGAATGTCCACTTTAGTAGAACCAGAAGAAATAGCTCTATGTCTACATACTGGGGCGAATGCAGGGGGATGAGATGCAGACAGTGTGATTGCACCCCCTCCCCCAAATTGTATTATGAATAAATATAATACTGCATCCGCCCCAAAATACAGCTTAAAAATATATTGATAGGCCTCGCAAACTAATTTCTAGATATTTGGTTTATTTTGCCTCATAGCGTATCAACAGTGTAGACACATATACTTAATAGTTACACCATGTAGAATGTTGCAGTCTATTGTGTCAATGGGCCAATAACATTCATCAACTGCCTGTATACTATTGCTCAGTCTAATAAGACTCAATTGTAGATAGTAACAATTCACCTATTTGCTATAAAGTACATAACAACAAATAGCTAGCCATAATCTGTCAATATCTACATGAAGCACCTAATTTTAATAACAAATTACTAACACTACTGTAGTTTTATGTATTCTAGGCATTCAAAATTTAAGGAAATGTCAGTAAATGCCGAGAAAAAACCTAATTCATTAAGTTCAGTCATGATAATATATTTTTCCTAGCCCCAAGAAATAGTTTTAACTAACCACTCCAACTACACTAAGATAATAACCGTCACTACCAAAAAGTAATAAATGCAATTATTACCATTACTATTAGCAATATTTATTGTCCCTACCTACATGATCAATCCATTTCACTTTACATTTGACAATTACCTTAAATTAGCTTGAATTTACCTGTATAACATTTAGACATACAGTGTTGGGTACACTATAGCTTTTCGGTTCCTTCAGTAGTTGTCATTACAAACATGCAGTCAAAAGCAGAAGTGGCTATAAATAAAGTCTCCATCTACTTCAGTCATTAAAGTAGGCATAAATGCTTGTGAAGGAATATATGACAGGTCTGACCATCAGCTGGATAAAACTTGACTGCTAGATACATCTTAGGCCTGTGCAACCCCATTGTATATATATGTATGCTGCAGTGCGCTAAAAGTTCAATGCTAATGAATTATCCTTTCAAAGTTGTTTTCTTATAAACAACAAAGTATAATTTCACAACAGAATAATTCCATTACTGTAATCTTGGGGTGCCCAGAATGCATGGTATTGAATAGGAATTAGGCTAGGCTAGCCTAATCTTGATCCATTGCTAAAAAAAAATGAAGTCTAGACCTAATAGGTAGGTCTATAAAGCCTATGCTAGTTGTGATAACAAGCTGATTTTTTGGAGGGGGAAAATGGTTGGAAAATAATTAACTTGGGAAGCAGTATTTCCTTTAAAAAAAATACTTAAAAACCTGCAGGGGCTGGAGGCAATTTTTTCAGATAATACTTAGCTCCTTTGATTCCTTATTTTCCAACATTGCCCTCAAAGTTTTACAATAATTGCTTATAGTAACATTCTTCATAATCAAGTCCATGTACATAATTATACTGTAAACATAAAGCTCAGCCATACTGTAGCTGACACACTTTTTAAATTGGAATAATATTGGCTAAAATGTAAAATAATAAAGGCTTTCTTAGCTAATACTTGGCATTGCAAGTTGCAATTACGAAAGTGGACATTCCCTTCTTTCTCTGTCTCTACACTTCAATTGAAAGCAAATTTGCCAAGAGTTTACTAGTTTCTACTTTGCTATTATTAGTTGCTAACTGTTTCACCATAAAATAGTATTTTTTTATGTATGTTAGTGTGGTGATTCTGTGATTTTGTCCTGCTGTTGAATATAATATTAATTTTTTTTGTCAGATTTTAATTTTAAGACTTAGAGTCCTGTACAATTACAAAATAAAATATAAAATGTTGATTCCAGTTCATTTCTATTGTTTTTCATTTTTTAAACTTTTTATTTTAATGCGGTTTTCTGGTTCTTTTTCACTAACTGCATGGTTATATTATAATGATTTCAATGTATGTTTCATAGTATACTATAGTATAAATCATATGTTTTCTTAGTGTATCAAGTGAAATATAAATTTGTCCAAAGAATTGATGTATTTTAAAATTATTATGGCCTTGGAATAACACAGATGGTACTACAGTTTAACGTTACCCAAAATATATTTATAATTCAATTTCTTTCATTAATATTTGTACAAAACTGTGTGCATGTTTTTTATATATATCATATAAAAGTTGACAACGAAATGATAGAACTATGCATGATAGTAGTTGGCAATATTTACCTAAATTTGACATGATTGTGAAAATTGTTTTAGGGAGTTGCGGTGGAGGCAATAAGTACTATTGACCAGATGCCATATTATTTCAGACTCAGTCAGTAGAAATAAACCAGAGAAATCACCATACTATTTATTTATTATTTATTTATTATAGGCCTATCCACACAGAGTAATTCTCAGTTGAAACATGCATGGTTCTTAGTTTAGCTCTGCCCACACTAAACAATTTGACTGAAAATTGTTGTATACACATGTATAGTCATGATATGACTATATTTGGTCATGATGTGATGTCATCATGGCCATATTTAAGCATGTCACACGTTTTTCCCAAAAGATTTTGGACAGGGCCTTATATGGGAAAAAAAAAAAAATAAATAAATAATAATAATAATGGTTGATTTATAGAGTGCATATTATGGAGACCTCTATGCGCTTAACAGGAACATGAGAAAACGGACATCAAATTTTGTTATTGGCTTTGAAGAGCTCATCCGCTCTTTGTTCAGCTATAATCACCAAGACAAAGCAAAATTTTATTTTCACCACCAGAAGGACCCCACTGGAAAGAAGTCTTTTGACTTAGTTGGTTTAATTTGGGAACCGCACGTCCTTCAGGCGAAAGTGGATTTTCCGCTTTTGTGGCTCCTGAGCTGTCATGCCAAATGAATAAAAATAAAATAATGCTTGGTGTTATTCACACCAAATACACTCCTATCATATTTTATTCTATCCTACATAATTCCGAAACACTTTTCAGGTTTTTTTTTTTGTTTTGTTTTTTTTTTTTTTTGTATACCAAAGTGCACACTGCAGTACTAATTACCGCTAGAGAAATTTAAGAGGGACTCTTCTTTTTACAGTCTAGTAGAAACCTCAAAACTGGGTATCATCCAGCATTTTATGAGTTCAGTCTCCTATGTTTCATTAGGACACTAGTTATTGTATTGTAGTCCATCTTAGGGGTCCCAGGTCCCCCATACAAGTCGTGGGAGTGTTCCTGAAATTGGGATGGCCTCCAGCACACAAGCAAGCATGAATCTCACAGAAACTTATCCCATCTCCCACAAAATCATTTATATCTGCATGTTTTTACTACTTTCTGACCCCCGTCATCTTATAATTTTTGAATTTTTTATTGACAACTTCAAATTTGAGAAAATGATGCGCTTTGGAATTGATTATGATGTATTGTGGCAAAGACAAGCCAAACCAGTCACTGGTCGCAAAAATCAATTTTTAGTTATTATTATTACAGTGTTAAATAGTATAATGAGAGCTGTAAAATGGTAAAAAAAAATCATTTAAATCCGACATTTCCTTATGAAGCTACAAGCATTTAAACATAGAGCTGTTTGAAGAACAATACCGGTATTTGAGAAATCAGTCTTCAAAGTTTATGATTTCAGGCATTTCTCAGGGAGACACCCTCACCAAATCGTAAAAAATTGTTGTTTTAACTTTGAAAATGGGGAAAATAACAGCATGGCATTATGTATAGATATATAAAGGTTAGTTTAGTGCAATAAAATAGATTTCTAAAATGTTGACATTCCAGCATGTTTTGGCCATTATCTCTGAAACACAAATTGTGACAGTGGCTGGTTTGGCTTGTCTTTGCCACATTTGTTGTTGATTAGTTTTACATGTGAACAGATGGTGATAAGGAGGATGAAATAAAGGTTTGTGGTGGTGGTGATGATGAAATAAGGGAGAACTGTAGTTTTAAAGATTAAGATGCTGATAAGAGGAAAATGAAGAGGTTGATGAGGAATCTACCATTAATAATAGTGTTGAAGAGGTGACAGATGAAGTTGGTGGTATGATGATCAAAAATTAGTAGTAAAATCATAGTGATTAAGAAGATGATGTTGTTGATTGTTGAAATGAAAAGAAAGAGAATAATGACAATATTGAGAAAGTAATAGCGTCAAATGTATTTAATTGGATTCACTGAAAAATTTAAATTTTTATTAATATTGTAAATTGCACCACTTTTGAACGTTCTCTGTGATACTTGTAGATATAGAACTTGGAGAATAAATTTTGTTAACATTATAATAATCACCAATATAATAACATTTTTTTCAAATTCAAAACAAAATCTTCCTCCAAAATCGCAAACCCATCTTTCAATGTAATAATATATAGTGCTTATCAGTTTATGTTATTAAAGGTGTGATTAGCAATAGTCCATATTTTTTTTTTTTTTTTTATCTATGACTTGATTCATTTGATTATGTTTGCTTTCAGACTTTTAAACAGAAGCACTTTTCTTTGAAGGAAGACAGCCTCTTTTTCCATCTTGGAGAGTGTGGCCTTATATCGTTTGTTGATTACATGTTCTTATTAACTGTCCTATCTAGTAAGTATTTCTATACAAAAAAAAAATCGTGGGTTGCTACGATTTTTGAACGCTGCCTTCACATCGCGCACAGAACATGGTTGTTTGGGTTAAGTAAGTATGCGTTTGATTGGTTCGAACCAACCAAGCTTGTTGCTGATTGGTCCAAGAAAAAAAAACCTATGATTTCAGGATACAAATGGTCAGGATTAGAAATCGTACGATTTGATGTGGACGGTCCTATTCTTTACCACTGAACCCATTTTTCACGATTTTTTTCTCCAGACTCATGACCAGAATCCGGGCTTGATGTGAACGTAGCTTTACTGGAATCAGTTTTTGTTTTGAGTAAAAGAATTACAGCTTCTTTGTGTTACAGCATAAAAATACTGCTACATTTTTATGTTAATAATATTCAGTTAACATTTAGCGACAGTATGCTAGTTTTAGAATGGCAATGGCATGTATACATACATTTATACATTTTTATAAATGTATCAACAAAAATACTGTATATAATTTGTTTTCCCTCTAGCACCTAGTAAACATTTTGAGATTGCCTTTCGATTGTTTGACCTGAATGGAGATGGGGTCGTGTCAAGTGAAGAATTCTCCAAGGTATAATTTCTAATAACTCATGCACACAGTTTCATTTTTTTTTTAAATAGATTTCATAAAATTTAATTGGAAATTCTGCTATTTATTTATGTCGATCAAGGATTCTAAAATAGAATTATGCAAGTTAATGAATAAAATCAAATGATAAATTACACATTGCCTTTACTTTCTCTCCGGTACCTTTTAAATACAACCCGGTACCTCACACTATGTAGTTGATTATATCAAACTGTCAGATCAAAAATTATAAAGTTTGATATTTTGACCTTATTATTTTCTTGTTCTGTCTATTTTTCCATCTGAAAAAATTTGAACATCTGACAACTAAATGTTACAATTTTGTTACAATTTTTGTAACGCATGTATTATGTTTAGTTGATTGTTAAGCACATTTTGTAAATGTTGCAATGCACAAGCTATGCAACTTGTTCATCCATTCTGAATTTTGAAACAGTTTTTTGTCAAGATACACTAATGCTGATACTTAAATTGAATTGTTCATTATGGAATAATTATAATAAAAGTAGGTTTAATTCATTTTAAGAACATTGCATTATGAAAAAAAAATAAAAGGCTACAAAATACTAAAAGCTAAATGTAGGGGTAGGAAAATGTCACAAATTATGTATGGTACTAATATCATTTGTGTACTATCTCCAAGGTAACAGATGTGATCCGAGCTCAGACAGCTACCGGTAAGCGTCATCGAGATCGCAGCACGACTGGCAATACGCTGGACAAGCACCCAACGGCTAGTTCACTGTCCACTTACTTCTTTGGTCCTAATCTTGATCGTAAACTCACCACAGCTGACTTTGCAAAATTCCATAAAGAGCTGAAGCTTGAGCTTCTCAGAATGGAGGTAAATGTTATTGCATTTATTAGATAAATTGTGGCAAAGCCAAGCCAAACCAGTCTCTCATTGCAAAAATCAATTTTTAGCTATTAAGACAGTGTTAAAGATTATAACAAGAGCTATAAAATGGTAAAAAATCATTCAAATCCGACATTTCTTTAAGAAGTAACAAGCACTTAAACATACAGCTATTTAAAGAACAATATATGAGAAATCAGCCTTCAAAGTTTATGATTTCGGGCATTTCTCATGCAGACACTATCATCAAATTCTTTAAAAGTGTTATTTTGGGGGAAATGGGGAAAATAACAGCATCATGATGTACAGATGTATAAAGGTTGGTTTGTAGTGCAATAAAATAGATTTTTTTAAATTTGACATTCGAGCATGTTTTGGCCATTTTCTCTGAAACACAATTCATGACGAGTAACCGGTTTGGCTTTTTTTTCCCCACAATTATCACTTTCAATTCAAATAAAAGAAATGAATTAAAACCTAGACATTCTATTTCATCACCATTTGTTCATCACAGAAATAGAAAATTGGTTTATAACAAAATTTAGATGGTTAGTCATTTTGAGTTTCCTTCAATCAGGTATTAATTTTAACAGGTTTTAAAATGCTATCTAAAATAATGTAATTCTGAAGAACAAAATGTCTGCAATCATATACAGTAACTTATAACATATAATTTTTGTAGTTGGAATGTTACCCTGAATGGTTGGATATCCTGTACTTGATCATGTAAATTGTAAAGAAAGTTTTGTTTGTTTGTTGTCATAGTAGAATGCATGGTCATGTGATAATTATGTGATTTTGCAATGCTTTTTGTTAGTTTGAACGTTGTAATCCTGTAGACGGCAGAATATCTGAGCAAGATGTGGCCCATATGTTGTTGGTGTATGCCAACATCACACGAAAGAGGGAAATTAAGATGATGAAACGAGTCAAGAAGAAGTACAGGGATGACCCTAAGGTAGTGCAAGAAGCATTAGCCTTTATATACTATTCTTTTAATTGAAATTATTTATGTAATTATTATATATATGTGTTTTTATTGTTGTCAATTGATTTTTTTTATAATCCTTATTTTTCTTTATGCATAGTAGTTGTCATTTTAGTTATGAAGATCAAAATGTCCTTCAAATGTTGTTTTATTTTTTTCAAGGGTATAACATTAACAGATTATCTAAACTTACATGAGATGCTAAGGAACATCAGTGATATTGATTTGGCACTTTCCTTCTACCATGTTGCTGGTGCCTCTGTTGATAAAGGTAAGTCCTAGTTCTCATACCTAGGAAATCCAACAATTTTTGGCTTTTATGTATTTTCAGATTTTTAGATCTGATTTTCGATAGTTCCGTGTACATAATTTATTGCATTGAATCTCAAGAAATTCATTTATATATGATTGAATACACCAAATAGAGCTAACTATATGTTAAATACTGTGTTTATTTGTCATGTTTCTATAGCAACCTTCAAGCATGTTGCCAAGATGGTAGCCAATGTTGACCTGTCAGATCATCTAACTGATGTTGTCTTCACACTTTTTGATGAAGATGGTAAGTTATTGTTATTGTAGCGTGTCCCACTGGCAGTTTGCGGTTCAAAGACTCTTGTGTATACTTCAACTGGCCGCAGATTGTGTAGTTGTTGTAGCCAGTATCTTTTGGATTATTAGCAAACCATTATGAATATTCTCGAGTTCAGTTTCCATCAATATGGTATACAGCTAAACTTGCCTAAGTCGACCTTGCCTAACTCGAATAATAAGTCTATCTTATTTTACATGCCAAATTCTTGTGTTTTCCATTAATTAAAAATCTGAAAGTCAAATTTTATCTAAGTCGAACAACATTTCATTGCCATTTTTGGATTTGACTTTTGGTTCGTTTCACACATGCACTTTCAAACCATGAGAAATCTCAGGGAAAACTTGGAAGAATAATGACTAGCCTAGAGGCCTAGGGTAGCACTAGTAGTAGGCCTAGGCTAGTTGTAGGTTGTCCGAATTACATATCAACTACTAAACTAGGCCTGGTACCGAATTAACAAGATTATAATTATTCCTTGGTCCTTAGCCTTCGGAGAGTAAAACGAATTCAACTCCTAGCTCTCTTGCTGTAGTCGAGCTGGCGAGAAAGATAGGCCTAGGCTGGCTAGGTGCAGTCGGGCTGCCGGCCGGTAGCTCACCATTGTTTTTAGAGGAAATCAGTGTGACAAGCATCATAATAATTCGCTGTTGGTGTATTTTACGAAGCCTCGTGATTGTTTCTACATCAGACATGTGAAATTTAGCGAGATTTCTTTTGATTTTAGGTCTAGGCCTATTAACAAATGGTAGTAATGTTGATACGTTTTCCATTGCTGCCATCATTCGTTCGAACTAAAAAAAAAAAAAAAAAACACAGCCCGCGAAAAGGTCAAAATATGAACATGACGCATGCGCAACAACAACTCGGAAGATTTCAGGAAAAAAACAGGCCTCGCCATGGTCTGTTTTTGTTCAGAGATAACTCATGTGACCCCTGTGAAACGGAGCCAACGGCCAACCATGCCTTAGTTTAAGGAGTAGGTTTTTTTAGTTTCATAAAATAACTTCAACTTTCTTTTTTCTCAAAATGTCCAACTCAAAGAGCTCAATCACCAAGCGCATAGAGGCTTTTTCGCATGATGCGCTCTACAAATTCAACTATTATTATTATTATTAAATCTCGGAATGTTTTACAAGGATTTGCTTTCACACTCATCTAAACCTGGTTACAAGTTGTTAATATTTGCGAAATACTGTAGCATCAGTGTGAAATGGGTATTATATTTATAAGTTCAGCTGTATTTCCAATTCCAATTCCAACCAACATTATTCAACATCAACTATATGCCATACAGCGGAAACAGCCTGAAGAAGACATGCATTTTCATATTACCAATCAGCTATTGTGATGTCAACTATTTGTCACATGACTCAGGTCACCGATGTTTCAGGTTGTTGGATTTGTATACAGTAGTTGTCTTGAAACCATTCCAACCTCTTTGTTACTTTATTTTTAGATTGGTTTATCTTTTGATGTTAATGTTGATTTTTTTTTTTTTTCTGTTATATTTTAAAAATTAAGTTTATGACAAGATATAATGTTACGTATGAATTTCATTCAATTATTATATTTCTTTTAGATGATGATAAGCTAAGCCATCATGAGTTTGTGTCAGTGATGAAACATCGTGTCATGAGAGGCTTGGATAAACCTAAAGAAGTTGGCCTAGCAAAGATCACTAATTCAATGTGGAAATGTGCAAAGAAAACGAAAATACTGAAGGATTCACATTCATAAGAACAAAGAATATAGAATAGCAAGCAAACTGCCCTGATTCAGCATGCACGCAATGGAATGGTTAAAAAGTACTACTGAACTACAAGATATAGCGCCTGATTAAAAATTGAATAGAATTCAAAATTTGACGTATGCTCCTTTAAAACACAGTGCGTTTTTGATACAAAGTTTACATGTACTGTATGTCTTCTTTTTTGAAGATCGTTCTCTAGGCTGTGGTAGTACCTTTCAAGTTAGGATTGCATTTCAAAAATCCCTGGCAGTTGGACCTATTGATGTTCTATACACTTTGATATTGAAGAGTATCACTATTAGGAGCTCCAGTAGGATCCTCTCAATCAGATTAGATCACTTCTTGTACACTTCTAACCAATGTTAGTGTATGTTTTATGGAAAGCTATATTGACAACATTACTTTAATTGAAAAGTTACATTGACATCTAATGTTTAGTAGACTCTGCAATTGAAAAGATCTATAGTGTAATTTCAGTATGTCGGTCATACAATGCATGTGTCAACACTGATGTGGCATTATTGTTACCCTCCCAAATACCAATGGATCACACAAGTCAACTGCAATGAGGAGTATTCCATAGTGTATTGTAAGTTTTGTGTATTATTGTGGAAATAGACAACATCCAGTAGATGTACACTGGAAAAGAAATTGAATGTGTTAGAGGAGATGATGGAAGAACTCTAATTGTGTTCACAAGGAGTTACCAATCAGTGTTTTTAAGAAAGGTAACGAAATGTTATCAGGAAAATAATATTTATGAAATGGCAATGGGCTGGCCATCTGGTAAATTGTGAGAAAATGGAATGACACACAATTAACTGGATTCAACAAACCAGGGGTTGCGCCCGCAGGGGCGGGGGGCCCTACAGGGCCCCCTGTCGGGGAGAGGTGTCTTCCCCCCCCCCCCCCCCCCGGGAGAAACCCCCCCCGTCGGGGAGAAAAAGCACAATTCGTTGGGGAGGAACAAAATTATATGTATTTTCTACATATTAGTAGACTACAAAATCGATTAAATAAGCCTTTGAAACCCCTAAATTGGCAAAATTTTCGGGGGCTTCGCCCCCATGACGACTTTCGAAACCCCCCTCCCCGGTCGGGCAAATCCTAGCGCTACCCCTGCAACAAACATGAATATTTAATGGTTAGACGAATAGGGTGATTAAGTTTTGCAACAATAGAGAGCAGTATTTAACTTAGCATTGGCCCAAATATAAGGGCATATAAAACATTAAGTAGTCTGATATAATAAAAGTAGTATGTATTACAATATATGTGACGTAATTTATAATTAACATACTGTAGATGGCAGCAGATGACATGTTGGTGTTGCCATGATCTTCATGCTTTTGTGATCATGTGCCTTATATACTCATTTGAAGATATGCCTTTCTAGATCAAGAAGGTTATATAACACAGACCCTATATCTTTGAAGATTTTATTGTCAATTCAGTTTAATTGTCCCCTTTAAAAATGGCAAAAAAAATCCCATTTAATATTTATTTTGAAATAACGTTACCATTTTGAAGTTACAGGAATTACCAACTACTCCAACTACAACTACTAATACAACTGATAGATGAGCGAGTTGCCAAGCAGTAAGACTCCACCAATTAGAGCCTTAACATTGGCATTGGTTCGAGCCGCTCCTTGCCCAGGACTTAATATGGGGATCTAGTGTATAAATCTGGCTCGTATGCACTTTAAAAAACCCATTGCATTATTCGGAAAAGTAGGGGTTACATGGTTCATGTCATCCCCTGTCGCTGTGGAATGATGTGATCATGTACTTCTATAAGCACCTGTATACGACAGACAGCTAAGTAGTCACGGAACACATACGCAATTCAGCACAATGACACTGCAGGAAATGGGCTTCTCCTACCATTAGAAACACTTTTATTCACTGATTGTTATCATCATTCCTTATAAAAATCAGAGTGAATATTTCTTTAATTTTTTAATTTGATAATTTGTATGTTACTTCAGAATGAGGTACTTAATTTAGAAACGTATTATTTGGTTTGGGGTGTCGTTTTCAGGACAGAAAACATCTTTTAAAAATATACTAAAATAATGTTTAACATATTTTGTATGCCTAATCATTATCTTTTTAACGTGCAATTTTTCATGTTTTATTACTAGTAATATGAAAAGAAAATAATCTCTCTGCATACACTTTGTAAAATATTATATAAATATAAATAAACAATGCATTAAAAAATATGTATGCTGTGGCACTTTCCAACATCATTAATGATGCTATAGCACCAGGTCTCCTATTATCTAGGTATACAAAAAAGAGCAAGAATTGAGATGTTTAATGATATTTTAATATTTTGACAAGATTTGTTAATAATTTGTATCTTAATTTATTATAATAGTTTAATCAAAAGTAGTTTCAATTATCGATTACTATAACAGTAGTCCTGCAATGGAAAACAACAGTCTTTTTGTTAGTTTTGTACGATGTTGTACAGATGTAAAGGTGGTGATATTTTTTCTTAAATAATACAAAATGCTAATAGTAGCCTAAACGTCACTCTTGTTCCTTGATAATAGGCCTTATATAGTTTCTGCATAAATTATGGTATAAGGTTATGTTCTTAAAAGTTAATTGCGCACTATATGCACAAATTATGCTGTGATACATACAAAGGTTATGAAATTAAAAGCAAGTGCATTTTCATGTTAATATTTGTGGTAAAGTTGCTGACTTTTCAATTGGCAATGTTCAGAGCTTTATTAGTGTGCTAGTAGCTTGGGTTCTTGCCTTCCATTTCCATTCTTGCAAGTCTTCTGCCATTATGAAAAGTGCATATCGTTAGAATTAATTAACAGAGATGGGGAGAGGAGCTGGTGGGGTGATTCTTTTGTTAATATCCGGAAATGTACTCTATTCTGCGTAGCTTCCAGTAGAGCAGCTAGGGGCAAAAAATGACAAGCACAGGACATATAAAACGTTATAATACCGTTCGCAAATGTTGTGGTTAGGTTATTCAGAAAATAACTTAAATAACACAACGTTGCAGCAACTTATTAATAGAGCATGAACGTATTCATAATGCAAAAAATAAACAGTGCACTCAACAAAACAAAACAAAAATCAAAATTAAGGTATAAAAGCACAGTACCATTCTACTTGATTCGAAGAAACTTTCTTTCATAACTTAACTATTATAAATACGGTAACAGGATTTCAAATAGATAATGTAATTAAGTCAAATGAATTAGGGAATAATACATACACACACACACACACATACATGTGAAGTAGCTATAACCGATGACATTGAAAACATACGCTATAAGTGGTGACATAGTTAATCTTCGTTTTTTTATGTTAAAAATGTGTGTAATGCTATATCTGTGAGTAAGCAAGGGATGTTTAGCAACAGC